AGAGAGAGAGAGAGAGAGTTTTAAGGCATAGATCTTTTCGAAGAGATCGCGGCGATATATTTTTTGTCTTTTTTGTTAGAAGTAAGTGCTATATAGAATCCTGACAAGTTCTCGATATACAAGCGACTTTTAACTCGCAATATCATTGATATCCTAAAGGAGAAACTCGAACTAGTCAAGAACGCTACGATCCTTAGGCAAGAGAGAAATCATAGGATAGATAAATCGGAATATCATAACGCTGTAATTCTTCTCTTTTTCTTTCTTCTCGAGAAAAACTTACGTCCCTTTCGCTCGGTTTAACATCACTGCGTCATTCTCGAGTTGTTGATAATATGAGAAACTATTTTATTAACGGGTTCGCGTTATAATTCTTAACCATATCTTAGTTTAGGAAGAAATATCACGACAAACACGAGCAGCAAGTGTCATCGATATCTACTTCGCTTCGACGGACGCATTTTTCGTAACAAAATCTCCACTTTTCGCACGTCTCGCGCGTGCAATTCTCCGTGAGACGAACTCTTCTACGGTAGAACGAAAAGATTTGCTTTTTTTGAGGAGAAATTGAATGGTTGAAAAAAAAAAAAAAAAAGAAAAAGAAAAATGGGAAACGGGCGACCGAGTTTGTATCGGATATATTCAGAATTTCGCATGGCCAAATGTTAGCCGACATTTTGCTCACTGAGAATGTAAAGGTGCGAACTAGAAAGGGAAACGAGAAAGGTTCTCCGATAACAGAGGGATGCACACGCTTCTCGGGAGAAGAATGCAAGTTTTCGAGTGTGATCGCGAGGCACGCGTTCAACCCGAGACGGAATCGCGTCGCTGAACGCTTTCACAACCCTTCTTTCTTCCTTCTACAAATTGAAGTGCTCACGAACGAATAACGGCAGGTCGAACGGTACATCCGTGCGCGTTGCGAAACGTCAAAGTTTTCGACGAGCAGGACGCCGTCATCCGGATGCGTGCACCGAGATTCGCTCGTTTACATTACGATCGAGCCTGTTTCGCACGAAATATTGGAAGGTGCAGCGCGGAGGCGGTGCCATTCCTCTTTCATCGATCCACCGACAAATGAACGGGCGTAATTATGCGAGAAGGAACGAAAGGGTCGCTAATCCTAGAGGCATTGGCTTACATTTACGTATGCTAGATGTGTACGCTAGCGATAAAATTTTGTCATTAACATTATATATAAAAGTGGAACTCTATTCGTGGCGCTCTTTTTTTTTTTCATCTCACGATTTTAATCAGTGATTATTGAATAAAGTTTACAGTTGACCGAAGCGTCGGAACGAAGTTGGACTTCCTTCCGCGTTCGTATTGACAGGTTCCTTCTTGTATAATTGATCCAGTTGCCCGCCGTTTTGTACGTACGCGCTATTCCATACAATACGAGCTAGGAGACGCTCTAATTTTTCAGACCAGATGTCTTCGATCGAAACGGAAGAACGTCTCTCCGGCGTTCTTCAAGTATGACTTTTAGTTCATTGATCGAGGTAAAAAGACAATTTTTTAGACAATTAATTGACGAATCGCCCCGTTAACTTCAATAAATAAATACCTATCGTTAAGATACGTTTCGTAAGTTTTTTTTAAACGTGTTTTCTCAGATGTCTTAAATTTTTTTGTTTTTTTTTTGAGTTTTTGTGCCGTTTAGATGTTAATATAGGCGAAAGTATATATAGAATGAAAATAAACTATTCGATACAGCAACACAGTTGCCTTTTATAACAAAGATCTCGACACTTGACATTCAACTGGCGCCCACGCAGTAGATTTAATCTCGCTTTGGTTTACTTCGTGAGTGTTCGCGCCGTTAATTAAACTAAAATAGCAAAAATATAACGCGCACTTGCGCTTTGAAATGTGCACTTTATATATTTATCGATTGAAATATTGCTACGAGGATAAAATTATCTGCGAATCGATATCTTGTGTAAGGCAATAGAAGAGCGCGGCGCTCATCGCGCGAACATTCATGAATCGTTACAAAATTAAATAGCGCGATGAATTAGCACGTGTGCAAAGCAAGCACGCTCTCGCTTTCTTCCTGAATCGCAGTATTTTTCAATCTTCTCTATTGAACGCAGTTCACTTGCATCTCGTACGTCTTGTACATTTTGTATATCCTCATTTTTCCAAAATTTTTAAGCAATGCAACGTCGATCGACATGGCTTACGTAATCGCAGTGACAATCATTCGCGCGCCTCTCGCAATTTTTCCTTCACGGAATCGTTATATAAAGCTAGACGTCTCTACGCTGATTTCGAAATGTATCTAAATTCTATGACGGCAACATGTATTCATGGTTTTGATTTTTCACTAACAGTGATGCGCTGCAAAATCTACACGCGTGTACAAAATGTTCACATCGACGTTGCATTGTGCAAGAGTAAATTATAACGATGTGAAAATGTGCCAAAAGTTAATCAAGCTTTTGCGAGAGGATTAGCTCAATGACTTTTGCATTAAATTAAAGGATAAAGATTGAAG